AAATGGTTTTAAATATTTTTTGTCTATGACAACAGCTTTCAAAAGAAGATGTATGAGCAGCCAAGAGATAAATGAAAAAATGTTCACCCTCACTAGTCGTCAAAGATATGCAAATTAAAGCTACACTGAGATACCACCTACCACCTAATTCCAGTCAGAATGGCCATCATCAATAACTCAAAAAATAACAGTTGCTGGAGAGGATGTGGCAAAAAGGGAACACTTTTACACAGTTGGTGAGTGTAAATTAGTTCCTCCCCCCCCCCCAGCTGTACCCTCAGACCTCAGGGGTCCAAACACTGGCAGGGCAGATCCCTCAGTGTCTGGACTTTATGGCCATGGTGGGGTGGGTGTTGCCCTAAATTCCAGCCCCAGTCTCAGCCCAGGGCCCCCCCCGGGAAGGAATTAGAGGGGCCCTGGCCAGGCTATGTTGACTGCTCCTTGCGAGCAGATTACCAGGGAGGACCGAGACAAGGGCTCCATTGTGGATGTCCTGGCTTAGGGAGTCAAGTGACGGCTCAGCACACGCATGGGCAGTGCCAGCCTCTAAGTGTGGACAGGGGCACTGGCCACAGGGTCTTGGAGAGTCCCACCAGCTCGGGGCCAGGCCTTTTGTGGGATTGCTGGACCAGCCTGGAACCCCACCCGTGAGTAGGACGGGGCCCCAGACGGACGGGGCTGGGGCTCTGTGGGCCTTTGGGGGTGGGCAACCGTCTTTGCCTATGTTTGTGTGATGTGCACACACAGGCAGTACATGGGCAAGTATGTGGGCACCTGTACGTCTGGGCAAAGCCCCTGAAGCGATAACAAGCTGGTTGCAGTTGCGGGGAGGGGATCCATCACTGCTCCAATAGTTTGTTTGTTTTTTTGAGTCGGAGTCTTACTTTTACCCAGGCAGGAAGAGTGCAGTGGCACGCTCCCGGCCACCGCAGCTTCCACCTGCTGGGCTCAGGCAATCCTTCTGCCTCAGCCTTCCAAGTAGCTGAAACTATAGGCACATGCCACCATGGCCAGCTAGTTTTTTGATTTATCGTAGATTCGAGGTCTTGTCAGGTTGCCCAGGCTGGTCTCGAACACTGCACTCAGGCAATCCTCTCATCTCTGCCTCCCAAATTGCTGCGATTACAGGCGTGAGCCACTGTGCTCAGTCAGATTTTTTTTAAGTTGGGGTGTCATTCTGTTGCAGCCTCTAACTCCTGGGCTCAAGCAATCCTCCTGCCTCAGCCTCCAGAGTAGCTGAGACTAAAGCCGTGTGCCACCACACCTGGCTAATTCTTTGATTTTTTTGTGTGTTTGTTTGTAGAGACGAGGTCATGCTGCGTTGCTTAGACTGATCTTGAACTTGGCTCAAGCAATCCTCTCACCTCGGTCTCCCACAGTGCTGGGATCACAGGCATGAGCCTGGCCTCTAATAGATTTATATTGAGTGTCTCCTATGAGAACACAATGGGAGCCTCCATTCTAGCAGGAAACAGGCAGTAAACAAGCAGATGTCCTGCCTAATTTCCAGGAGTGATAAGTGCTGTCTAGACAAATCGGGCAAGGAGGGGAGACAGAGGTTGCTGGTGGCAGTGAGGTACTAGTTTCAGGTAGGATGGTTGGGAACATCCCAAGGAGGTGACCTGGAGTGGGAGTGAACCATGCAGTCATCTCAAGCAGAGCATCCCTGCCGGGCGTGGTGATTTACACCTGTAATCCCAGAACTTTGGGAGGTGGAGGTGAGAGGAATGTCTGAGTCCAGGGGTTTGAGACCAGCCTGAGCAACTTGGCGAGATCTCCCTCCAGCCTGGGTGACAGCATAAGACTCCTACTCAAAAATAAAAAAAGCATCCCCCAGGCAGGAGGATTGGCAGGTGGAAAGGCCTGGGGTCACTACCCAGTAAACATGACTTGAACACCAGCGAGGCTTTGTTCTGGGAATGGGCTTATGGCGACAGGCGGGGCTGACCAGGCCATTTACCCGCTTCTCACTCTAGGGCAGTTGAGAGGGCTGGGGGCGGGGGCAGCTAGTGAGCAAGATGGGCTCAGAACACAGCTTGGCTCAGAGGACCCGAGCTCAGGGTGTGCATGTTGCTGTTGTCAGTACCACTGTTGTCAGTACCACTGTCACCCCACAAAGCGAAAGGCACGTGCCAATACGTGGGCCTGTCTACGTCTCCCCTGCCAAGGCTGTGGGCAACTTCTGGATGCACTTTCTTGGGTTCCCAGCTCCCGCAAGCAGCCTGAGCTGGGCGGGGTGGGGGGGTGGCTTGGAGGCTTGGAGACACTTCCCAGTGTCGGGAGAGGAAAGGCCCAGGGCAGGGAAGGGTCCTGGTTTAAGATCACACAGGAGACCCAGACGCCAACCAGCCCCCTAGCCATGTCCCTCCCTGTCTGCCCACCAGGACCCAAGCCCACCTGCCACGGGCCAGCACCTGGTCATGACCATCACCTACACCAGCCAAGTGGCCAACGCCCGCCTGGGCTCCTTCTCCCGCCTGCTGCTGTGCTGGCGAGGCAGCATCTACAAGCTGCTGTACGGCGAGTTCTTCATCTTCCTGCTCTGCTACTATGCCATCCGCTTCATTTACAGGTATGGGGCAGGGCTGGGGCTCGGAGCTCCCAGGAGGCTCTTGGCCAGCGAGGGGGCCAGCGCACCAGGGAGCTAGGAGGCTGTGCTGAGCTCCTGACCAGGCC